GTCCTTTCCAGCCACTCGTCCCCAAGCCTGATGCTCAGCCATGCAAATTGGGGTGGGAAATGGTCACAGTCTTGCTGCATCTGACCAGTGGTGGCTTCTGCTCTTGGGAGCCTTTGTGCCAGTTTGTCTTTAATATTTCCCAGTTCTGACTGGGTTTCCACCTTCTCTAACTGGTCCCTGATTCCCGTCCCTCCCCATCTGTCCCCTGCGCAGCCACCCCTTCCCTCGCGTCTTCAGTTCCTGCAGCAAGAGGCAGCTGGAGAACTACTTCCAGAAGGGAGGTGGCATGTGTCTCTTCAACCTGCCCGATACCAAGGACCTGGTGGTGGGACGGAAATGTGGCAACGGCTTTCTGGAGGAAGGAGAAGACTGTGACTGCGGGGAGGTGGAGGTATGGTGCTAGGTGCTGCATCACTTTCCTGCAAAGGCTTTTGCAGCTCAGCTGCTGGGTGGCAGGATGTGGAGAGGGGTGTTTCCAAGATAAAGGGGTTTTCTGCTTACCACAGGGACTCCATCCCCACGGCTTTTCCCAGTCCCACCTTTCTAAATCTATTTAACCAGCTCCTTGCTTTCTTCTTGACTTTACTCTACAGTGCTCAGGTCTATCTCATCCCCCCTGTGCCTCAGTTTCCCCGTTGGCAAAATGAGCAATGCTATGATGGGTGGAGAAGGGGCTGGAAGCAGCAATGGTGAAGAGTCGGTCTCATTGACCATGGGGGTCTCATCTTCTTCTCCCCATGTAGGAATGCACCAACCCATGCTGCAATGCACACAACTGCACACTGAAGGCAGGGGCCCAGTGTGCCCATGGTGACTGCTGCCAGAGCTGCAAGGTAAGGCCCCCACTATGCTCCCCACCCAAACATGGGCTGAACGGGATGATATGGCCCCCACCATCCCCTCAGGACTCATGAGCTGCATGTCCATGGTGTCAAACTCCCCAGTGCCACACGAGAAGGGTTATGCCTAAAGCAGGAGAGTCTCTGCTGGCTGCTTTGTGGCTGGGCTGCAGCCCAGGAATCTGGTTTTATACCTTGACAGCCCCATATGGTCCCACAGGGGACACTGTAGATGGTTTATGGCCCTCCCCCTTCCCTGCCACTCACTACTGATGTTTCTCTCTCCTCCCGCGGCAGCTGAAGGTGGCTGGGACGCTCTGCAGGGAAGCGGCGGGATCCTGCGACCTCCCCGAATACTGCACAGGCACCTCGCCCTACTGCCCAGCCAACGTCTACCGGCTGGACGGCTCTTCCTGCGCCTACGGCGAGGCCTACTGCAACAACGGCATGTGCATGACCCACCACCAGCAGTGTGTCCAGCTCTGGGGACCAGGTGAGCCCCACCAGCCCCAGTCATGCCTCCTTGACACCCCATTCACTAAGGCCAAGTGCCGGGTCCTGCACTTGGGT